AATTCGATCGGAGACTTTCACCTTTGGGCGCTTTCGCTTCTACGCAGCAAGTGCCACGCGTAACTGCGCGTCTCGTTGCGCGCCAATCTGCGCGTTGGCGTTAAGTTCCGGGGGATGTTGCGGGTCGTCTTTGGGAGGTCCGGCTAGAGGAACTACACGCACACACACAAGATACACACAAAGCCATACACACACAAGTGAAAATACGCGCGTTTACGAAACTTTTAATCCTCTTTATTATCGCTTGCTCCGTGTTAGTAACTCGCTCCGAATGTCGAACGAGTGAGAAATGTCGACGTAAGAAAATATATATATATATATATCTATATGTATATATATGTATGTATGTGTATGTATATATATTATCGTTAATATTATATTATTATTGCTCTCATCGAGGCTTGTCTCAGGTCGCGCGCGACACGCGCGCAGAACGCACCGATCTCGCCGTTCTACGGCCGAGAGCAAGTCTAATTAATCTCGAGCAGCGCAGATTTAGCCGCACGGTTGTGTTAAAGGTGAGACTAATTAATCTCTATCCTCGAGCGCTGTACCGGATTCTCAACGATCACACTCCGATTTCGCGATTTCGCACCGCCGCAGCGCGCTCGCGTCTGAGAATGGCCTCGACTACGATTATTATCTCGTGATAAACGCCATACCAACCCTAATCTCATTAGAACAGTCGAAACACGCGAATGTATAAATAAAGATATATATATATATATATATGTATATGTATATATGTATACATATATATGTATATATATATATATATACGCATAACAATGCGTCTCGCATGGCGCGAGACCGGTAATATGAAGAGTACGAAATCAACGCTTAGCTCCTAATTAAATATATCTGCTCATATAAAACCAGCAACGCCTTAATATAAACATATATATATGTATATGCACGATGACACTCGTCGTCAGTCGCTCGTACGCGGAAATATGTACAATTTAGCGCGAGCGCACGCGCGCCTCGAGACGTCGCGGCCGGACGATCGACGCGGATCGATCGGCCGAGCGAAAATGGAAGCACGATTTTTCTCGGCCGCTCTCCGAGCGACCGAGCGAGCAGGTTTCCGTTCGACGTGCGCGTGCAGTCTCGTTCGTCACAATCAATCGTCTCTCTCTCTCTCTCGTTGATCGCAATCTCTTTTTTCTTTCTTCGCGGCCTCTTAACAGCGGATAACGCTATAATTAGTAACAATCGGTCGCTTTAGCAACACCGGCCGCTTTCTCGACGCTGTGCGACCGGGCTCGCGAGCCTAACTCGATATACTCGCGTGTGCGATTCCCTTTCCGATTATTATTTTGCCGCTCCCCGCCTGCCTGGCGAAATTAATTCGCGCTCGTCGTTTCGCGTTTGTGTCGACGAACCGCGCTCTCCTCGTCTCTCTTTTTCCTTTTTTTTTCCCTTTTTTCCGTGTGATTGCAGCCACCGGCTGTGCTCAGCGTGTCCCCGCCTTCCCGGGCTGCGCCGACTCTTTATCGCGAAATTGAAGAGAACCAACTACCGTTAAACTTACAGAATGCGGTAGAGCCTGGCGTGAAGCGGACCGCGGGTTACCCTGTCGCTGTGCGGGATATTTTTTTCTCTTCATGACCGTGAGTCGACCGTGCCTTTCCGTTAAAACGCGAGAGGACATTTTTTTCATACTTGCTTAATCAAATTCGGTTTGATCAGATTTGGGGAAATTGGCGAAGCGAATTTTTTATCAATTTAAATTTCATCGAAGTGATTGAACGAAATTTAACGAGTTTTTTTGGATGTGGTCAGATTAAATAAATGTAACGGTATGTATTATCAAGCGTCACGAGAAAATAAAAATTTGTATTGATTTATGCAATTACTGGTGGAGGACACTCTATCTCTCTCGAGTTTCATAATTTCCAGCAATTTTGGAACGCGCGCATCAACGTCTCGGAGCTTATAGAAAACTGGTGACTTTGCGTTAGAGTTCGAAATTTAACGTCTTTCCACTTTGATCACGGTAAAGCTCGCGATCGAGAGTACAACATTCCAACGGCCGTTTGCGAATTCACTTGGGTTACGTTATCGAGTCATGTCGGTATCATTTTCGCGCAACTTGAAAAGTTCGCTCTACGCGGCAACTTAGAGGAAAAAAGAAGGAAGGAAGGAAAAGGAAACTCGAGATCCCGCCTCGGTCTACTTCCAATTCGCTGAGCGTTCCACGCCAGGCCACATGAAAAAATAACGCACGTGTCGTAGAAATGCAGCAGCCGTGGAAGCGCGAAGTACGCTTTTTACGATCTAATTACCCGAGCGTAATCTATTTCCTCGGCGAAACTACCCGGCGTGCGCGGCTCGCTCGCGCCACCACGTTCTTTGGCTTTGGCTCCTGCGTAACAGAGTGTGCGGAGACTTCAATCCAGCCGCGGAAATGGCCGCGCTGTTTTCGCAACGCAGAGCCCAACGTTGAATTCGCGAACCTGTGCGAGCGAAGGGAATCTTTCGCACGTCGCGCGCCAAATAGTTGCCGAACTTTCGAGACGACGAGATCGCCCACGCCGCGCGTCAACGAGTCAAACTCGATTAAATAAATATAACGAATATGTGTGTGTGTGTATATACGCGCATGTATGTATTTATATGTATTATGTTTCTATATATAAAATGATTGTGCTGCAAATATGTATCTCTATGTACAACCGATCGGTGAGCGAATGTGAACATGTTACGTACGAGTTGTTAACGTTTAAGCTACGTCGCAACTGTTCCCGCGGTGTTAACTGGTTCGTACGTTCGTTATACAGAATAAAGCATACGTGGATGCGATAACGATGATAATAATTGTTAATATAGACCCAAAGCACTCGGCGAAACACGCGAGAGCGACGGAGAGTTCAACACGAACAGAGACAAGTATCGCGAACGATCAAGAAAGATGAGAGAAGAACAACCGCGACGCGACAGACGGAGGCAAAACTCGAGAAGTTCGATTTTCAATGCTTATCTGCCTGACGAGACCAATCGAACGAACAGAAGAACTCTCTGTGGAAAGCAACTGCAAGACAGAACGCGACAGGACAGAAAAAGTCATACGAAAAAAAGAAAAGGAGAGAGAGAGAGAGAGAGAGAGAGAGAGAGAGAGAGAGAGAGAGAGAGAGAGAGAAAGAGAGAAGGAGGAAAAGAGAGATCGACGCGACCGACATATCGGTGATCGCGCGAGCGCTATTTCCTTAACGAAACGAAACGAACGAAACGAAAACGCAGGGGAATCTCCTCGTAGCGAGACCTAAGCTAATTAAGCGGGGCTCACGTGAGCCCCTTACGTGATACGACTTACGCAGCTAGAGTCAACCTTAAAACCTAATCGTTCATGGAACATACAGCGTTTAATATATCATAGATATATGGGACCAAAATCACCAGCACCAGTCGCGCGTCCGTGACGCCTCGAGCGTTAGACAACACGATCGCCGTGGCGGTGATCTCTCACCGAGAGAGCCTTCGCGACAGACCGAGGACGATCTGGACGATCTCCTCGGGGCTCCCGTGCTCGGCTGCGCGAAGACGAGCGCGAGACTCAACAGCGCGTCCTGGCCGGGCGCTCTCGCGCCGCTTCGACCCGATTGCGTCCTTCATCGCGATGTCCACGACTCTGTTCTATAAGGCACACTCGACAACTTGATGGACGACACCTCCGCGAGCGCGCCGGCAAAAGTGTCCCCGCGAACGTTTCTCTCGTCGCCGCCACCGTAGTCGTCTTCGTCTTCGCCTTCGCGCCCGGCGCGCGCGTCGAAAGTTACGAAAGCGCGAAGACGCGACCGCGTCTAGGAGTCGGTTCGTCTGTCGTCATCTTCGCGAACGGGCAACGTGTTAGTCTTCAATCGCAACGCGGCGACTGTCACGTCGGTGATCCGACGTGATCGTTTCCTTCTTCTTCTTCCCCTGTCGCGACTTGGCGCGTTCCGCGCGAACAGCTCGCGTGAGCAACGGGAAGAGGACGGTTACGGTCTCCATCGGCTTCTGTCTCGCGCGTGCGCGTGCGCGAGCGCGAGCGCGATGTGTAAAAGTATCTCGTATAAAAAATAGAAACGGTCTATTGAAGCGCGTCTCGCCTCGCCTCGCCTCCACCGCGGTCGGCAGAAAGGGACGAGGGTGCGAGCAGGACGGCTGGTTCGTGTGCCAAGCAGCAGCGAATGGTTCCGCGCGCTAAGGCACACCCCGTCGACGTATCGCGCGTCGCGTCGCGTCGCGTCGCGTCGCGTCGCGTCGCGTCGCGACGCGGCTCGAGGGTCCCGACGACTGGTGCCGGCAAGCAATCGTGAGAATAGAGAGGAAAGGGTCACTTCTTCCCTTTTCTCTGGCGAATCTCCACCTACTCGCGTTCTCACTTCGCGTCCGCGATGAAGCGGCGACTCGCGAGTCCGGCCGCTTGTCTAACTTAATGAAACATCGAAGGGCTGGAGAGGAGGGAATCGCGATCCGATCGGCGAGTCGCGCGTTTCAATCTTGCATCGCCGGGGAAGACTCGAGGACACGGGGACGAGACAGGAGTGAGAGACAACGAGATAGACAGAGAGTGTGAGAGAGAGAGAGAGAGAGAGAGAGAGAGAGAGAGAGAGGGAAAGAGAAAAAGAGAGAAGAAAGAAGAGCAAGTAAGAGGGCTCACAAGGGCAGAGTGGGAAGGGGGGATAAACGAAGGGATGAAAATGATCGCCCAAAACGGGCGTACTAAGCGGACCCGGCCGTGACTCGGCGTTATCAACGTGTGATAATATCGAGCATGGCGGATCGTCGTCGTTTCTTTTTTTTCTTTTACCTTTCGATCTCCGTGCTGGGTTCCTCCTCGAAGTCACTCGCTCCGAATCGCGGGCGCGCGCGAATATTGCACTCGGGCAAAGAGGAAGAAGCAAAGTGTGAGAGAGATAGGGGGAGAAAGAGAGAGAGAGAGAGAGAGAGAGAGAAAGAGAGAGAGAGAGAGAGAGAGAGAGAGAGAGAGAGAGAGAGAGAGAGAGAAAGGAAGAAAGAAAGAAAGGAAACGGAAAGGTGCAGAGACAAGAAGAGAGATGGAGGCTCCTTACAGGCAATAAGGATGACAGAACTGGTAAACCAGTCTCTGGCTGCGTTCCGTCTTCTTCATGATGCCCTTCTTGTAGTACTGACGGATGCTGCGGCTGAGCTTGTCGTAGTTCATGGCGGGCCGGTTCTTCCGCTTGCCCCAGAGCCGTGCCACGCGCACCGAGTCCTCGATCTTGAAGACACCCTTGCCACGGTCCAACCAGCGTATGCAGGAGCCGTGCACGCCCGGGCTCTGCAGCAGCTCCTTCAGGAACTGCCACAGGTGGATGTAACTGCCGCCGTTGCGCATCTTGCCGCCACCGCCGCTGCTGCTGCTGCTGCCGCTGTTACCGCCCTGACCGGAGGTGCACTCCTCGTCTTCGTCTGCACAGAGAAGAACGAGCGGACGCGCGATGAGAAGGTGATCAACACGTAAGCGTCGTAAATCGCGTCTTGTATAAAGGACGGGAAGAGGAATTTAAAGTTTGTTTTTTACTTTCAAGTGCACAATATCGACACAAAATGTCGATGGGGTCAGAATGTGAGGTCAGTTCGGAGCGTTCGGTTCTCCATTCTCTTCGACGGTAAATCGATCGGCCATCTTCTACAACGGAGACACGAGCATGCTGCGAGGACGTTGACGAAAAATTACGTGAGTAACGACAGCGACTGCTCGATTGATGAACGACTTACCCTCGTTGGATCGCGAGAGAATCAACTTTGACTCGAACCGAGCTGTTTGACTGACTACCTCAAGTCTAGACGTTAATCTTTAACCCTTTGCACTCAGAGCCGTCTCGCGGGCCTTACCTACCTTACCTACCAGCAGCTTGGCAACACCTTTTTAGAAAAATGTATAAACAGGACATCGCGTCGTATTAAATAGTGTAGTACTTTGAAACCAAGTATCGCTTTCTTTAAGGATTGGTTGTTCAAACTTCTCGGTAAGTTAATTGATAGTTAAATCATATGTTTGTTTTTCCTTCAACTTAGACAAAGACAGAATGTTGACATTAGAGAAGTGTTGATACCATTGTGAATGTCCCCTGAAAGGAGACATCCGAGTGGCTTCCTAGACTTACGATGTCCCCTCAGAGGGGATATTCGAGTGCAAAGGGTTAATAAAATGCGTTAGATTTAAATTCAAAGTCAAAGCCTCTTCGCATTGGACAAAGCCGAACACAATTGCCGAAGAAATATTTCGCTAATCGGAAATATTGATAACGTACCGTCTGAGAAGTCGATGGTGCATGGGGACCCTTTGACGCTGGCGGCTGACGTGTTGCCGATGTTGGCCGGTGGAGTCACGGCGGTATTGGGCGGCTGGACCACTCCGGCTGGACTCCAAGAGGCGGCCAATGTGTTTCGCGGCGACTCCTCGACCGCGGCCTTCCAGATCTCCAGTTGCGCGTGCAACATGCTTCCGCACTGCAACACAAACACAGCGAGCCGTTCTCACTTTAGTCTCGATGTAATAACATTCTCCAGTCGTGGCTCCACTGTTCTCTCTCTCTCTCTCTCTCTCTCTCTCTCTCTCTCTCTATATATATATATATATATATATATTATATATATATATATATATAAGACACATGTATCATAACGGCATGTAATCGTCATATGTCAGTGCTCCGTTTGAAAAGGGCGAACAGCTCGTAAGGTCAAAGTGCACGATCCATTGTGCATTCGGCGTATCTAGAATGAGTTGGACACCGAGCTGGTCAATTTCCTGCGAGAGATCGCGGCGGCGATTAAAAATGAAAGGCGAGCGCGGGGGGAGAGCGCGACCGAGAGAATAGACGAGCGGGAGAAAGAGAGGGAGAGAGAGAGAGAGAGAGAGAGAGAGAGAGAGAGAGAGAGAGAGAGAGAGAGGAAGAGGGAGAGAAAGAGAGCGAGAGACAGGACAGGGGAGAAAGGGGGAAGGAACGAGAAGCGAGGCGCGGAGCGTTAGAATTCCAACGGAAGAGTCGTGTTGTGTATGCGCCGAGAGAAGAGAAAGCGGCTCGCCGTTGAGACGCAACGCAGGCAAGACATTCGAGCGGTTGACCCACTTCTCGATCGTTTCTGCCGAGCCAATGACGCGCGCGCGCGCGTACGCCAGGTACGACGCGAAGCCGATTCTGCTGATCGCGAGATCGCGACGTGTACGCAGGCACGCGACGTCGCGATGTCGGAGGACATCGCCGTCACCCTCGCGACGCACAGATGCGACCCCGCGAGACGCGAGACGCTTCCTCCTCCTGTGCAATAGAGCATCTTCGTTCCTGGATTCTCCAGACGGTTGCATTATTTTCCAGCTAGTTATTTATTTGTTGCTTACTTATTTATTTATCCCGCGCCCGATTGCTTACTTATCTATTTATTCCGCGCCTCGCGATACGCGACGCGAGAGATTAAGTCGCAAATCGTATTCGCATCGATTCATATTATCAGTATACTGCGCGCTACATTGTCTTACAATGCTGCTTACTATACTTACTATATAGCGTAGCCGTTTGCACGCTAAGAGCGCGACACTAGTTTTGCACTTGTTGGAACTCTTTTCTGTCACTCTCGCTCGTGAGTGACTTTTCGCGACGGAAAAACACGACAGCTCTCAACGCTCTCAATGCGCGAGCTCGTGCACAGAGGTTAACTCGTCAGGTTCGTAAGTTGCTGGAAAACGGAAGAATCGCGAGTTTGGTGCAAACGAATTGCGTGCCTCGAGTCCGCCCTGTCCTGCGCCGACCTGTTCCTCCGTGTTTTTTTTTATTTTTCTAATAAGCCGTGCTGATACTTTTGTCGCATGCGTCGACGTGTCGAACGCGATATAGGCTGCGATATAGGCTGGAATATCAGAGAAATATCGAAAAATGACATGCGACCGTCGCGCGGAACATTTCTTTCGATCCGCCGGCATAACTGTGCAATGTCGGAGCATTCCGTGTGCTCCATTCAGCCGCGCCGCAATTACGCTCGCCGCTGCGTCGCGTCATTCCGGGAAGCAGATTCTCGTGTATCGATAATCGCCGCCATTAAAACGCTACGCCAAACCGCAAGGAATGCTGTAATTATTTTCCTTCCCTCTCTCTCTCCCTCTCTCCCGGGAGGCGAAGGAAGAGGGGGAGGGGAATTCGATGAGCGAGTGCGCCGTGACTCGTCCGAGTTTTTACTCGGACCGAGTGTCGCGTTAGAGCTCGGAGTCACCCCAGATGTGCAACCCGATTCCCTCCCTTTCTCTTCTGCCCCCGCGCCGATCGACTCTCTCGTTTGTTCAATTCCACGATGATTCGGAAATGTTTTCTCGCGACATTCTCCGAGATATATGTATACGCAGAAGTACGAACGACTCGCCTTGCTTTCAATGCGACACATCGGTATTCAGACTTTTTCTCTTAACGATTCTCGGAAGATGAATCTTCCCATCGGCCATTAGATTCGTTTTAGAGCTCGCCGAGTAGTGAAAGTACTTCGCGACTCTTGCGCCACCGTGGAATAAAAAATGTTGTGCTCGAGACAGAGTTCCCGGGCTTCTCGAACTTGCCTCCTCAGAATCGGAGATTTCGTTCCCTCCGACCAGACGAGACGCGTCCGGTCCGTTCATCGTCACGCTGATCCGTCGCGCACTTGCAGGGAAAGAAACTCACAGAGCCGATCGGTAGACTCGTTCCGACGGAACGACTCTCGATCCTCGAAAATCTCGATCCCTCGAATCCGTGAGATTACGCTTCGCGGATCTCACGCGAGGGCCCGCGTGAATTCCGTCTCCGCGGGCGGAAATTTCAGCGCGTCAACGAACGCACCAAGGCGAGGAAGGAAGACGGGAGGGTCGCAGGACGAGATCGCAGATAGAACGTGACCATAAGCCCGGCCATGATTCCACGCTGCGAGGACTAACGCGCGGTACTTCGTATACGCGCGATTATCCAATTACTAGACGCAAAGCGGGATCCATTATGCATGACTACTTCTTCCCCGCTGTTCGCCAATCAACAACAGCAACAGCAGCAGCAACAGCAGCAGCAGTGCCAGCAACTATACTATTACCACCACTACCTCGCTTGCTATTAATTTCCGTTAGACTCGACGCCTGTACTTTCGAACGTAACGAGATGCGCGTCGATCGATGCACGCCGATGCCTCCGAGACCCACTCGCGGTCACGACTTAAATATACCATCGCGCGTGTGTTTCTTCCTCTCGCGTCTTTCTTTTCACACGCGAGTTTCCCTATACCCTTTCACCCCCTCGCCCACCCACGTCGCCGTTGTCGTCGTCGTGACGCAACGCGCGCGATGCGTTCCGCATCTCCGCTAAAATCGATCGCTCGGCTCGCGTGCGACGACGTAATGTCAAGTTCACCTCCTCGCGGGCACTTTGGCTTTGGCTTTCTCAAGTTTAGGGTTGACCAGGCGCTTAGGCGGTACAAGCAACATCGACGCAACCGGTTTTTCGCACGCTCGCGCGCGCCGACGGAAATAAAACTCGTTACTTAATAAGCGACAATGCGGCTTTATGCACGCACGTGCGCCCGTCGGGAAACGACGGCGGAGAAAAATACCGGTTGCCTCGCCGTTTGTTCTTCTAACCGCGCACGGGCTCTCGTCACGTAACAACAATGTACAGTCGCACGATGGCTTTTATTATTATATTTATCTCCGCGTCTTTTCCCGATATCGCTTTATCGACGAGCGAGCCTCAGCGCCGTGAAGCGATTCGTTCATAAAAGGACAGAGACAGAGAGAGAGAGAGAGAGAGAGAGAGAGAGAGAGAGAGAGAGAGGGAGAGAGAGAGAAAGTTGAGATTGTCGGTGACAACTGGCAATCAACTGGTTCATTCTTGCTTGTTTCGTTCTTTTCCATTCTTTTTCTACACTCTGTTTCTGCTTAATATCCATGTGTGTTGTTTGTATTCATTATTTATATATTTATATATTTGTTCTATTCTGTCTTCCATCCCTGGTATCTAACATTTGAGGCCGGTTTTTCAATAATAGTTTAAACTTAGATCGAAGAAACTCTGTTCTCAAAAGCATTAGACTGTTTTTCAATGGATAGATCAGAATAAAACGTAGTTTAAAATATAGTTTAAACTGTGAACGATGACCGTTTAAACGTCGTTTAATGGATTAGTAAACGTCGTTACACACACACACACACACACACACACACACACACACAGTACAGTGTTTCTATTATTATATTTAAAATCATATTGTTAAATATTGTTAAATATTTCTAAAAGTATAAAATATTTGTTACGGTGTTTGATGAATATTATGAAAGGAATAGTAAAGATGAGGATATTTTAGAATATATAAAACACATTTACATGAGAAAAAATCGTGTTGTAAGGTGAAAACCAAATCATTTTGAAATTTGGGATGAAAAAGATATATCATATAAATTAAATGATATATATAGAATACTTTTCAATTATATTAGTTTTAACTAATTAACTAGTTGCAAAATATGGTGTTTACTAATAATGAATATTGTACAAATAGTATAAAATTGATTTATATTGTATATTTTATTTTTTCCAGAAATCAGACTCTCTTAGTATGTATGAAATGATATTATTAAAATTAAGATTTTATGCTAGTGTATCTTTTTTGATAAGCGTAGGTGATTTTGTTGGTGTTCATAAAAGTACAGTAGGTAAAGTAATCAATAAAATTTCGAGAGCAATTGCTCAACTTAGATCTATAAAATTTTCGAATACAGAAAAAGATATTCAAAGATTTCATGAAAAGTTTTACAATAATGCAAGATTTCCACGTTGTATGGGTGCCCTAAACTGCACTCATATTAGAATTAAATCTCCACGTGTCTAAAAGTGACCCGCACAGCGATGGTTTTTCGTTGCCAACTTAAGAATAACAAAGATTTATCTAAACTGTCTTCAGCGTATGCTTGAAAAACACACAAGATGTAAACTAGGCTTATGGATCAAGAAAGGATCAGATAATCTTTAGTTTAAACCACGATTGAAAAACCGGCCCTCATTCAACTTTCTGTTTCATCTGAGATTATTTCTATCGCGTTGTGTACAAAACGAAAGAAGTGTTGTAATAAAAATTATTACATATTGCCGTATGTATCGAGGGGCGCTGTAACGTGCTCTGACGCAAACGCGCGTGATTCTTTCACGCGCCAGGTGATTTTCATGGGAATCCCCATCCCGTTAAGTGTCGAAATCCTTGCGCCTCTGCTTCCTACTCGTACCTGCTCTTCAGGTACGGATTACGCGGAAGGAACGCAAACGCGCACGTCGGTTACCAGGAAATTCACTTTCACCGGACCTCGAGCGCGGGCATTTCACAAGTCCGACCTGAGCCGTCGATCGTTTTCGTCGCTCGACTCCCCTTCATCGCTTCCCCCCCGCGTTCTCCTCCTCGATATGCGACCGTTCGCGGAGAAAAATATCGACGCGTAACGCTTCTCCTTGAGATGCAGAAATTATGAACGGAACGGAACGCGCAAAACTTTCACGCGCGTGTAACCACGATAAACGCGAGAAGCGTTGTAAATTTTCGCGATGACGTTAGATAAACCTCGCTTCGGAAAAACGCGCCGACAGACTGATAAGAACGGCAATTCTGCAAGATTGTTCGCTCACTACCAATGCCGGAAGATTTTAACGGATATCCTCAGTCTACGGAGGAGCGACATTTTGCGCGCGATACGAGTCGATTTCATGGTTCCTTTTACCATCGTCAAACTTACCCACGTCTCTCAGTGAGTGAGAAAAAATCAGCGGCTGATCGAGCTGTTGAAGCGCTCATGAATCTTCAATGAGGTCGCTCATTAGATACTGCGTCAACGAGATACTAAAATTGCAAGTCGCGCGAGAAGATAAGAGAGATAAAAGGGGAGACGAGGTGGGAGCAAGGAGTGAAATAAACAGCAACTGAGTAGGAAGAAATAGCAACGAAAAGAAAGAAATGGAAACAAAAAAGAAAGAGAAAAAAAAAATAAGAAACAATGGGGGATGATAAAAAATAAATATAGGAGAATAAAGAATAAAGATAAAAGGACAATAAGGAATGGCGGAATAATGAATAAAATAAGGAACAAAGGCTCGCTGTGAAATTCGTGCGGGGAATAATAGCGGATAATTTCCTTGAAAATTGGCCGGGACTCTTTGTGTCCCATCGCGCGCGCGCGCGCGCTTCAAGTCAAGCGGATGAAAGTGCATTCGCGCTCACCTGAGGAGCTCTCTGGCAGAATTCCTCCTCGGAGAGGGAGGCCAGCGTCGCGCCGTCCACGTTGAAGCTCTCCAGCGGCACCGAGGGCAACTGCAATTGCCGCCTGGCCCACTGCACCCAGGCCGCAACGTCCGCTGCGCTCCAGCGCCTCGGTTCTGCAATTAAAAGCCGGCGATCCGACGTTATTCTCCGCGGTCGTCTCCGGAAAATCGCGCGGCCGCGCGATAGCGCGCAGCGAGACTATTACGCGTTATTATATATACGATGCAGTTGTGTTTACAGCGAGATAATGGGAAGTGCGATGAATCCAAGCCGCGGCGATCAATTGAAAACGCGTAATTGAGCGACATGCAATCGCGCTTCACGCGCGCTCGGAAAGAAGGTTGAGATTACGCGATTAAATTCAACGTTATGCAACACGACAGACGATGGAGCTGGATAGAATGAGGTGGAATTAGACGGATGATAAAATCGAATGAGATCAGATTTTGCTATTAGATCGATGCGTATTATTTGAATATCTCGGTCGATCTTACAGAAATTACAAGTAACGACTTTGAATGACAGCGAGAAGCCTAACTAGCCCTTTGTATCTTGAATTAATTTATCTGGATTAATTTGCCTAAGGCTTATGAAATTTTTACGCAATTAAATAGCTTTCGGCGTGTTACAAACATAGGGAATAGGAAAAGAAATTTTACAGCGATTTAATGATAGAATTTTAAGGTGCTACTTGTATAAGTGAACCAACAAGAATGTAGGATGAGGCAGAAAAATAGTCTAAAACCATATGAGCGTTTATATAGAACGGCACTTTTAACACTAGAAGGACTGTAGGAGCTAATTTGGCCCCAAGCATATCTTTTCGTAAATAACAAATAGAAAGAAACGAAACGTATAGGTAATTATAAAATTTAACGTTTTGACATTAATATCATTAATTTATTGAGCAAAAAAACTATTATATTATATTGAATTTTTTTAGTCTTTGATGAAAGACTAAACGTGAAATACAACGCCGTTATGTACTACAGGAAACGCATCTGTATATACTTTTCTTTGTACAATTACCGCACACAAATTTTTTACACCAACAACATTTTCTAAATTTGTGGCTTCTTTTGCAGTTTTTTTTTATTTGACAAAATGGTCGTTTGCCTGAAGCATTGTCAGATGCAATTTTTTTTCCCGGTTGAATCAAAATTTTGAGACTTTCGTCTTTGGGCAACATATAGGGCACTGAACTCTTCCGCGAGATTTTGTAAAAAGATTCTTTTTGATACACGTAACTTCCTTGTATATAATCCATGCATTTATAGCAGCAAAATTCAAAATATTATAAAAAGTATGAACTGGCCAACGGCGAGATGATATATATGCATATCTATGTATACATATGTATGTATATAATGGTTTTTCAAGCAAACAAATGGATAAATATACAAAAAAAATATACGTAAAAAATATACGTAAAAAATATACGTAAAATATATGAGAGTACAATATCAGATATAAGGGAACCAAATTGGCTCCAACGGTCCTTTTAGATAGACAATTAAATAAAAATTCAACCATCTTATATGAATGAAAAATTTTTTTACCAAAATCAAGAATATGAAAAATGATGAAAAGTCACAAAAGGATATTACGTGGAGGCAAAGTTGAAAGTACCGTCGAGATATAAAGGATTAAAAGAGATCGAGATCCGTAGTGATTACGTAGAACGGACATAGCTGAGCTATCGTCGCAACCGGCATACGTATCGAGATCGATCGTGAAGAAATTTGTAAATTTGTAATTGCGTCGATGACGTGGGATCGCCATCACGGTGGAGCGCCGTAATTTCGTAATTCCGCGTGAAAGCACACCGACGCGACTCCGTAACTTATTTCAAACGTGACATCATGGTCCGGACAAGAGGCCAGCGCATAGTACATCGACAATGACGACGACGACGACGACGACGACGACGACGACGACGACGACGGCGGCGTCGAAGGTGACGAAGACGACGTCAGCGACGACGAAGACATCGGAACTGCGCCCGCGGCAAGGTAACGAGAAGGTCTAACCAAGCGAGGCTACTCTTAGCCGATACGCAGCATGGAGAAAATCAAGGTACGGCGTCTCTCTCTCTCTCTCTCTCTCTCTCTCTCTCTCTTAGTATTTCTGATCTTAATCCGCTCTGCGTCAGGGCAGTAGCAACAACTTTCTACGACAGCTAATTGCTAGGAGATAGTCCACGGATAAATGAAAGTAAGGAATTAATGAAGCTCGCCACACCTGCCAGAAGAAGACAGAACCTGCCTCCAACACTCCACGCGTTTCGCACGAAACGTCTCTTGGACGTGAGGAAGTGTAAACGAGCGAGAGCGAGCGAACGAAAGAAAGAGAGAGAAAGAGAGAGAGAGAGAGAGAGAGAGAGAGAGAGAGAGAGAGAGAGAGAGAGAGAGAAACGGGGACAGAGACGCTCTATTTGATTTCTTAACTGAAATCGCCATGTGCGCGCTGATTTCACGATACGCGTTTGCACGGGGGGCGTGTGCGATAAAGGTCGCGATCTTCAGCGAGCGATAAAGAACGATAGAATCGGTAATCATCGCTAAGTAATTGTTACACGTCGGTTTACATTGTCGAAGCGTGTTCCGCGAGAGTAGGGAGATTCGGCGATAAGATCTGCGGGGAAATCGCGTGCCCGGTGGTAATCGGCTACACGCCTGATAATGATAATAATTATCGCGCACGCATGATCCTGCCAGCCATTGCCACGGCGACGATTATGAGGAACGCGTTTCTAAGGATAAACGCGCAAGGCCGCGCAGCGATAGGTGCGCGCGTGCATTTGCGCGTCGATGAGAAAGTGCCGACCAGACGCGGTCGCTTGCGCGCGCGATACCTGCGATTCTATATTCCGCTCAGAGAAATATAACGAAAGTAGGAGGGGGGATGGAGAGCAATCGGGGAGGGGAGCGACAATAGAACGGAAAGCGACTCGGAAGATCGCCGGTCGGACTCGATGAAGCTGCGAGGCACGACAGGACGGAAGTAGAGCCGCTACACTCACCTGGGTGAATGCCGAGCGCCACGCAGGTATTGTCGAAGTCCTTCTGCAGCTGCTGAATCGCCAGGCTGAGGACCGGCTCGAGCTGCTCGCGGGCGAGATCGCCGACGCACTCGCCGGTCTCCATGTCCTCGACGTAGCCGGTGCCGACGCCACCAAGATCCACCGGTCTCAGGTTGTACTTCCTCTGGAAGCTGGTGTCGCGCAGCACTTCGCGCAACAGCTGATGATCGCTCTTCTGACCGTCCTTGAAGAGCTCCTCCTCCTTCCGCAGAGGATTCGCCAGCTCGTCCTGCGAGGGTTCCACCTTCGGCTGGCTGGTCTTGGAGATCGCATCCGCCGGTTCCTTGCGGACACCTTTGAAGAGAAGCTCGCGCAGCGCCGAGCTGCTCTCGTACTCGCTTGGGCCAGGCGATGGTGAGGAGGACAAGCACGGGGATGAACCGTTGCTGTTGGAGACTGACCGCGGCTCCTCCTTGAAGAGGATTTCCTTGAGTAAAGGATGACTCTGTACACCGGCCTCCTCTTTCTTCGGCAAGAAGTCCGCGTCCAGGCTGTTGTAGATGTCCTCTTCGCTCCGCGGCGGAGTACAGGGTACCGTACAGTCGGTCGAGTCCTCGCGGTAACCTAGACTCTCGGCCAAGAGTCTGGAACAAGGCAAAAGTGCGCGACCGGTTAGGAGATGGAGAGACGAAAGCGAGAGACGGAGAACCCGAGAAATATGAGTCAGAATCGAAGATTGCTCATGAAGAGGCTAAACGTGGTCGTATGTGAGCTGCGTTTGCCTAACCGAGTGATCGCCGAGGACCAGATTTTACGTAAGACGAATATTTTACGCAAGAGCTATCAACCAGAAGTATCGAACTGATTGACGAAATACTCCCGTCATGTTTGCGCCAACGAGGAATCACGGCTGGGTAATCCTATAAAAAATTTACCATGAGAAAAGTGCTCGATATTTGTAACATATAAAATTCTAATTCTTATTGTTAAAATTAAAATTTTATTTTGTACATCGAAATTATATTTATTAATATATTGCTTAATATAATATATAATAAATTTAAGATTAAAATTTCTTTTAGAGCCATACTTACAACCATAAAATATATATAGAATAGATTGTAAAAAATGTATAAATGTGTAAAAATGTATATAATAAAATTATGTTCATTATGTAGCGGTTATGTTCATTGAGAGAAAAGTGTTTGGTATACTTGCAATTATCGTGTAGCGAGAGAATTATAGTTGGGAACATCATTTTTGTAGTGAACGTTACTATGTTATTAGCAATAACCTCTTACACGCGTAAGACTGCTATTACCTTTCCGTTGGAACAGCAAGAAGATGCAGTTGATGCCGAAAACTATAATTTTACTGACCGTTCTTTTGCCTCCTAGTTTAGAGTAACGACAATTCGCGACGCAAGGATCTCTCTACCGAAGAGGACCTACCTAGATTCCTGAAGGATGGCCAAGAGGTCGAGGCTCTTCTCTCTCTTGACCGGCTGCTTGGCCGACGGTTCCGGGCTGGTGGGATAAAACTGGGCGCTCTGGGGGCTCCTGGGCACGTAGTAGGGGCTCGTCGGATACCCCGGCGAGGATCCTTCGCGCGAGTAGTTAGGCGACAACGGCAGCTCGCCGTTGTTCTGATGATACGGCGGGCTCTGGTAGATCGTGGGTGATCCTGGACGCGGCGAGCGCGCCTCCTGCTTGATTTGCAAGCTCTTCAAGCCGACTTGGCCGCCGCCGGTCGGGTTGTAATCATCCGGCAAGAGCGACAGGTCGAACTGAAAGGTGCTGTAGTCGAACGACGGCGAGTAACCGGCCGCGGTCGGTACCGTCTGCGGCATCTGGAAGAATTCAAGATCGCAGATCGTACATTATCGTTCGTTCGGTGGTCGGCCAGCAAAAAATGTCGACGAGAGAAAGCGGCGTGGGGCGCGAGGAGCGAGACGAGCGTGTCTCGCGGCGCCAAGGCTAGATCGAGACCGGAGAGTATCTTTCTTGGGCTCGGGTTCTGGGCGGTGATGTGCGCAATTAGAGCGCGATTAGTGGTGCCGGCCATCGTCAACACACAATGGAGAGGAGCGCGTCGCGGTAACGATCTCGGCGTTGCGATCTTGCGGCGGGCACGAAAAAACGAAACGAAATGGGAACGCGAGTCCTTGCATCTCGCATCTTTTTCACGGTCGTCGAAAGCGTATTATGTATGCGTGTGTGTGTGTGTGTGTGTGTGTGTATGTGTGTGTGTGTAATATATGCACGTTATATTAGGCAAAGCGGCAATAACAACCTTTATCCTCGCTTTTTAGTCGTATTCTATATTTTGCTATTTGATCGTTCTTGCTTTCCTCACTCATGTGTGTAGCGTCCGATAAAATTAAAATTATTACTATTTATGAATAAATATATCGTATATTACTACACATTTTGTATTTGCCTCCGAATTGCATATTTGCAGATGTTCATTATCACCATCACCGTATAATAAGAAGGCGGCAAGAAGGTTGCGACACTCTCCGTGTCGACGGATTTCGCAATGCGTCCGTATCCAAGAGGAGAATCTACTTTTCGATAATTGGATACCGTTTTCTGCGGCTCATCACCATCGTAAAAGTGTCGCAATCTTGACCACAGCTTTTGGCGAGGATGATCAGACATCTCGCGGATCGCAGACGGATCAGAATTTTTCGATATAAATCTCCTCGACTCGTAGCGGCGTCGATAACGTAAACAATTCGCGCGGAGTAGCAGCGATAACGAGTGACGAGTCGTTAACTATTCGCCAGCCGGATCGTAAAGGCGGACGCGGACATGTTATAAAGCGTATAGGAACGGCAGTAAAACCCGTCTTTTTTGCAAGAGTCACCGCGTTGCGGCGCACAGGCTGCTCCTCATATCGATCCGCGAAAGCGAAAACTACGCGGGGCGCGCTCAGCATCCGCGGTATCCGCGGACGGAACACTTTCCCCGCGACCGGGGCCTCGGTGGACCCAATTGCCCGTTTATCTTTCAGCGTGTTTATTGCCCGTCGTGCGTTTGACCCCGCGTCAGTTTGTTACGCCGCGCGAGTCGCTCACGGCGATCGCGCCGCTTCGCGCCGCGCCGCGCCGCGCCGCGCGCATCCCTCTGCCGAGCGCGGCGACGCTGCTCGCGGTCTATCGTTCCGCCGAGCGCAGAGCGCCTTTCTCGGAGGAGTGACCGTAAATTTGTAATATAATAAAATCCAGGAGACCGTCACGCGGCGAGAAAGTTCAAGGGAGAGATTTAAGACCGATGCAGCAGACGCGATTTCGATTAGAAGGCAATTGCGAGGGAAATCCACAACGATCTCCTCGAAAAGAAAACGAAGGAAATAATTTTCAGCAAATCCGGAGAGCGACGCGTGCGAAGCAACGTTGGGGTGACGTAGGAAAAGAAGAAATTAAAAACAATCTAGATGCGTCTTGAAATGCGTTGAAAAATGAGTACGTTTTAAAACAACTCGTGGTCGCAGGAAAGGAGAATTTTCATTTCCGGAGATGCTAGTTGGATGTATCTTGAGATGTGGAAAAATGTCTGTGCCTTTTGAAAGTATTTATTGCCGTAGGAAGGAGAAATGTTTATTCTCGGAAATACCATTGAGCGAAACGGCGATTCGAGAAGCAACTCGCGAGAAACATCCTCGCGAACGACATCCGCGAGAAAGACATCCGCGTAGATTTGGGAAGAAATGCGTTGTCGCAAAAGAACGACGTAAGGAGACACGCACGGTAGGGGAACATTCCATTTGGATGCTCCTCGGATGCAAATATGTGAAATCTCCCAAAGTGGGTGTCTTTTGAGTGTCCTTTGGGTGACGAACAGTCGCACAGCCGCGCAGAAGGAAAACGTTGATTTCTGGAAATGCTAATGAGAGATCCTAGATCCTAGAGAGAGGCTAAGTGGTTTCGATCTCGCGCTCATCTCACTGTCTCTCTCTCTCTCTCTCTCTCTCTCTCTCTCTATATATATATATATATATATATATGTATCGCGCGCGCGTGCATGAGGCAAACAAAACGTCGAGAGATACGCGTCGAGAGACGAAACACTCTCCTCCCTCCCGGCAGGCCCGGTGTGGTGCACCTTAAGGGCCCATTTATCTCTACGTGTGTTTATTGCCCGTCGTGTGTTTGACCTCGCATCAGTTTGTTACGCTTTGTAAGCCCATTACAGCGTTCCCAGTGCATCTTCCCTGCGCTCAGGCGGGGTCGCATCTGACATTTTGACGTAGTGCCCCGCAAAGGTCGACGCGAAATAAACGATTATGCCCACAGACACACGTACGCGCTCGCGCGCAGGCACAGGGCTCTCACAGACAACGAAAAGACACAATACCCTCCCCCACCTTGATCGCACGAGCACGGGAGAAGACTGTATGCGCGTCCACGTGAACGCACGCTCGCGCGGGCGAGCGCGCGCGCGAGCGTGCGAGCGCACCGAGAGGATAGGAGAGCTCTCCGGAGAGAGCGCGAGAAACAGAGAGAGGGAGAGACACGACGAGCGCGAGCAAACTTGCTGCCCTCTCTCTCTCTCTCCCCCCCTCTCTCTCTCTCTCTCTCTCTCTCTCTCTCTCTCTCTCTCTCTCTTCTGGCGAGGGGCCTCCTCTCGAAAGGTTCCGAGGAGAAAGAGAATGTTTATCTATATACTGATGGCATCTGAGAGAACGATGCACCCCTCACCGGGAAGAGAACCTTCCTGGATTTCCGCGCGAAACCACGAGACCGACTCGCCGCGCGAGACGACTCGCAAGACAGCGGAAATATTCTGCGGCTCGTCCTGCCGACCCGGCCAGGTGCCTTCGCACTTTCAGAGGGCCGGATTCCGAGAGACGCGACGTCTCTCGGCTGATGTTTCGGCCCGAGAGTGTACGGAGACCTTCGTCACGCGTCGGGATAAGCGCCGCACCGAAGTGTATTATCCCATGTTCCTATTTCGCAGCGTTCAAGTGAATATTTTCGCAAGCAAACGCGCGCGCGAGAACTCTCTCTCTCTCTCTCTCTCTCTCTCTCTCTCTCTCTCTCTCGGCGCTGCGGAAAGCCTTAATGGTTCTCCTTGGATTTTTCGCCACCTGCCTCTCGTGCCTTTCGCAAAGACAAGCTATTGACGTCACCCGTTCGACTAATCGCCGGTGCAGCTCCGTTCTCCCCTTCCGTGCGCAAAACACGGGATTCCACAGGAGTCACGGGCCGACCTCATAATTTTCGAGAGATCGTCGTTCTGTTTAAACACCGTAATTTATGCGCGAGTGCTACATCGCCGCGCGGTACATTTGATACCCCGCCGCTGTGTTCCTCTTTGACTCTTAAATTCGCTCTTAAATAGATAGGAAGCGAGATAGAGATAGGCAGATAGACGGATAAATAGATACATCTGGAAGAGAGATGGGAGGAGGAGCGATGTAGCGGAGAAGAGGTACCAACTCTAGTAATACCAAGGAGAAGGATACAATTAATTGTAATAGTTCCTTTGTAAATTTTACACTCGATTGTTTCTCGACCAGCTCTCTTCTTAAAGTTAAATTGTCGCTCAGCAGAATATCGCACACCTTTGGTAAATGAAAGCAATATTCGATTAAACAAACTCCCCTCCCTAAAGAAATTGCGAAAATTAATGTTTCGTGTCGAGAGAGACGAGGATTACAGTTCGCAAATAACAGTCACAAATTTTTCCATTGTCCGGCGTGTATATATAGAATTATCGCGAATTTTATCACGTCGACGCAGGATCGCGAAGGGGTTAACGCCAATCGTTATCGGCGAAGTCGCTCGTGAGAAGCGTGCTCGGTCGCACTGGAAGATCGATAAAGTGGCATGAATTATTGTTTCGTCGCGAACACACCTCCACCGAATGACATTACATAACGAAAAGGAGAGTGAGAGAGCGGGAGAAGGAGACGGCGACGTTTCAACGTTCGTCGTGTCGCAACATGACAGAGAATTATCGTTAACGAAACGCAGCTCGGCAATTGCTCGCGATAACGCGCGAGTTATCGGGTCGTGTGCCGTTTCGTAACGAACCGAGCTTTTCACGATCTCGCTCCTCAGACTTTGGACGCGCGCGCTGACATTTTGGGCGAGAAATCGCGACCTTCGATAACACCGAGCGACCGAGAAATTGACGAACGAGGCGCGAGCGCACTCTTCTCGGGAGACTCGAGAAGACCGCGGTTTCCTCTCACTCGTCGTAAAAATATCTGCGTGCACCGTCTATCAGACTCGCGGCATTTGAATATGCATTCCGTGCTTCGAGAGAGACAGAGAGAGAGAGAGAGAGAGAGAGAGAGAGGAGGAAGAGGAGGAGGGAAAAAAGCCAAGAAGATGCAAAATTAATAGACGGCTGTAAAAAGTGTCAGAATCCACGAGATGCGCGTTCGAAAATGCTCGATCACGATAAAACGCGAAGCGCACCTTCTTATCTTTGCTCACTGAATACAACGTACATTGTTCATACGTTTCATTGTTTGTAGCGTTATTTCCTTACAAATTAGATATTTTGTCTAAGATTGTCTAGGTTTTTAACCTTTAGACGACCGGAAACCGATATATTGGCGCGAAAGTGGCGCCACCTTTTTCGTCATTCAACCTAATGATGTTAATAATAAAGTTCTAATACTTAAAATAAAAAAGTCGAAGAAAACAACTGCGGTAATCTAAAGGTTAATCAACCCCCATGTTTCACTCTCGAATTTCGCTCTTCAATATTGGAATTACCGACGAAGTGACTTCTTTGTAATTTCTAAAAAATTATTCAGACTTTTTTATATTTTATATTGCTGCGTTTTACGTTTCTAAACGATGTTGAAGACGAAACTAAGAGAGATGGAGAA